GAGGCTGTGAAAAAAGCATCTGCTAATTGTAGCTAATCGTAGCCAATAAAATTACTCGATCAAATGTAATATTAAATTTTGAAAAAAAAAAAAAACCAGAAAAACGCAAAACTCAATGCCAATGATTGTTTAACTTCTAAATAAAAATTTTAGTACAAATTTTAGATATACTGTATCGAATAAGTGCCACTAAACTTCAATGTTGGTGATTCAGTGATCGACATTGATTTCAGACGTACGTGAGAAAGTTCGCTTTTTATTCATAATGATCATTTGAGTCAGATTCCTTAATAGAGTACTATTTATAACAATGAGCAAATTTTTTTTACAAAGAAAATGCATGTATTGAGTATCATCAGCATATCAATTGAATGCAACTATATATTGTATAACTGATTGCCATACGGTTATATTCAAACTTTATACGTTTATACGTAGAAGCTTGTATGCGTGATTTTCGTAAATAAACTTTTGAGTGCTCAATGTCTATATAAGGTTAAGTAAGCAGGTTTTTGATGTGTAACTGAAAAAAGATTATATCTGCTACTGTAGGTTTTTAAGATATTCTAAAAATGGGTTTCGACGTGCTTTTTTAGTGATAATTTTTTTCTTGAATGATTCGAGTAATGCATGTTCATCCGATAAAGAATCAATGCGTAAAATATTCCCAACGAAAGGTGAATAATTTGTTATATAAGGTACGTAAATTGTTCATTTGTTATTTACTTTTTATAAAAGTTTATTTTTTACAATGTCTTATTCAAATACCTTCACCGCTTACGTTTATGTTCTTATTAAACATTCTTCTGATATGTTAGGAAAGATGTTCGAGTGGGATTCCCTAACAAAATTAAGAAGCATTGGCTTTGTTCAGGTTAGAAAAGTCGAGGATTTAACGGGGGTTGATATGGAATGTGTGCATACAGGGTGAGTTTCTCATTGATTATTTGTCGAGTTATAGTGTATCCAAAATTACGCTGCCACATCGGTGCAATGAAATCTGATAGAGAATTGAAAGCGCATCGTGGCCAACCGGTTTAATGGTTGAACGTTCTCCTCTATCAGTTATCGATGTTCCTGTAGTACTGGCCCTGTCTGCGTTAGAGAGGACCTTTCTGTATTGTTATACTAGAAAGCGTGCGTCTAGGAAGTTGGTGAATAGGATACACTCTAGCATTGAAGCATGTAACCGTTGACTATTCCGGCCATGCTCTTTGTTAGTTGATAATGATGACACAAGTATTCACTATTCATTTTTTTTATTTTTTAGTGGGAAAAGGGATAAGGGCATAGATATATTATGCCAAGTCGCTGGTAGGGTTACCATCCCGATCCAGTGCAAGAATTATTCTAAAAAAAGTTCAATAAGTAAGTAATTTTTGGCCGGAGCGTAGCGGAGAACTTACATTTCAAGCACAAGAGCAGTACCTCTACTAGATGCCTTGCTAACATGTTGATCAAAGTTTGTTTGTCTGTCCACAAAATACCGATTCTGATTGGCTGTTGCGATATCATAATAATTTTTAGCTCCGGACTTTAACAGAGCCTGTTTACCATGGTGCGCCAAGTTACTTCTCATCAAATTTACCAAGTATTTTTTTAAAATAAGTATAATTTTAATTTCTAAAATATTTTTAAAAAATTAACCGATAAAAATGGATCTTTATTATTAGTTCCATCAATTTATCGGTTAAGTTTTTTTAAAATAATCAAATATATACTAAAGTTGGGAAGCTTGATTTGGTTTGTTTTGGTTTAATACTTATAAATTCTAATTTATGCAGATCCTGTATCAATCAAACCAAATCGAACTAAATCAAACTTCCCCATCACTAGTTATATATATTTAAAATCACTAAATTGGCATTTATTATAAAAAAAATTTTTATTAGGAAATTTTTTTACCCAATCAAAATTAGTTAAATATATAATTATGATTGGCTAATATATTTAGAATTTTGGCGCCTTTGATGAGAAATGACCTGGTGTGGCATAGTAAATTATACGTATAACTTTATTAGTAATTTTAAAATTTTAGTTAATTGATACTCTTTTTTTTGTTTTTGTTTTTTAGATCGTGATATCATCTACGCTCATTGTGAGGTGACTCGTAGATGCTCCCGAAAATATGGAGGTGTTGTTTTCGGTATTATAGTAGCACCTTCCATGGACGCTTTCTCACCTG